AGGGACATGTCCCTTCAAATTGAAGGCTTATCAGAGCAGATTTCTTTGTCTCCTCCTCAGAGCTAGAGGCTGCTGAAGACAAGATTCTCCTCAGACCAGGAACTCGGCAAACTGAGCTTCCCCTTCGGCAGAGGGCCTCTAAGAGCCCTGGAGAGCGGGGCTGAATCTCTCCCTTCTTATTGAGCCTTCTGTCTCTCTCAGCCTCCTCTGGTAATCAGCCCTGGGCTGCTCAGCCTGTGTGTCTAAGGAGGGATATTAAACGCCCCAGCCACTCTGTCTTGGCCAGCTTTCTTAGCTCCATGCTTGAGTCTACCATCATACAGGCCAGGGGAGGGTGCTGGGCAGTGGTCTCCCTGACTGAAGGAGTCAGGGGCTCTCTTCTTGCTGGGCTGAGCCCTGGTACTTGTGGGAGGTGGAGCAGCCCTGAGTGCTGTGCCCCGCAGGGGCCATGACCGTCTCTCCCTGCAATAAGGGAAGAGACAGCAGCTATTAATATAAGATGAGTTCACGGGCTCACAGCTTCCGCAGGCTGGAAAACAGGCTCTCGGGGCCGGGGGCTGCAGCAAGGCTCGTCTGTCAGATTCTCTTCTGCAGCCTGGAGCCCACCATCCCCCAGCTCTTTCCATGCCAAGATCTCTGCATTCACAGACACATATACATAGGCACACACACACACACACACACACACACACACACACACGGGAATCAGGCACCTGACTGTTCAGAGAGACACATGCAAGCATGCACACATCCATCCCTGGATGCATGTGCACACTTGTGCAGACACACTTGATCTACATACTAGATACACCATTATACACATGAGCTTTATGTTCATGGGTACATGCTGGAACACCCACCAAATGTATATATTCTTGCACACGTGTATACAGACTTAACCTTGTATGTACATAGATACACACAGATCTAGGTATGTTGTATAAGCAAACCCATTTGTACACCACTGCAGCTATAAACACACCTATAAAAACCTACGTCAGTGTATACAGGTGGCATTCACAGTCATGTAAACGCAACTGCATGCAGGCCCACATTCAAGGCCTTGACTGCATCTACATGCTACTTCACACACAGGCAGCACACACTCACGCGTGCTCCCTGCTGTGAGCGCTCAGCAATTATGAATCCATGGCCCCACCTCTGGTTCTGCAGCACCTACAGGCCTCCCCTTCCTCTTCTTCCCCTCCCCCGGCCTTTTGACAGGCAGCTCCTGCTCCTGTCAACCCCATGGTTGCCTTCAGCTTCCCACCCCCTGGGGGTCCCCAGAACCCTGATTAACCCTCTCACTAATTGGCCACCAGCCCCTTGACTTTGCTGCAGGGCCTTCTTGGGAGCTGAGAGCAAGACTGCAAATTGGCTGAGCAGGCGGGGTCCAGGGAATTGTGTGCATGTTGTGGGGAGGGCGAGGTGAGCCAGGGATCTGGCTGGAGCCCATCAGGGCTGCCCACATACCAGGGCTGGGGAGTGCTGGCATCAGACTTTTCTCACAAGGGATTCCTGTTTTACACGGACTGTCATTTGTCACACACAGCCATCCCTGCACACACACACACACTGGCAGGCATATGTAGGCATGTTCCACCCAGCTCCACACACCAAGACAGGTGAAGTAAACACTTGCACATTCCCAGGGTGCTCAGGGCATCTAAGGAGCACACACCCAAGCGACACCTTACTTGGGCATTACGTTACCTGCCAGGCACACGGAAATCACTTGCTAAAGATTTACTTTGTTTTAGACAGGGTCTCGGGTAGCCCAAGCTGGCCTTGAACTCATTATGCAGCCAAGGATGGCATCCAACTTCGGATCCTCTTGCCTCTATCTACCAAGGGCTGGGACTGCAGGCATGGATCGCCAGCCCTGGCTTTATATGGTACTAGGGATTGGTACTCAAGGAGTGGTACAATCTAGGCAAGCACTTTACCTGAGCGCCAGTGCTTGGATTCCCTGCAGCTGCCCAACCCGGGTGCCAGGAATCAAACTCTGGTCCTCTGCAAGGGTAGCAAGTGCTCTTACCCGCTGAGCCATCCTTCCAGCCCACAGACACTATTTATGTATGGAAACGCATACAGAGGGCCGGAGGCTACGCAAAGCCTTGGGTTCAATCCCCATTTGAAAAAAAAAAAAAAGCCAAACATTGTGACACAGTGGCTTCTATCTAGAATTTTAACACTTAGGAGGATGAGGCAGGGGGATCACCAGTAGGTTGAGGCCAGCCTGGGCCATAGCGTGAGACTCTGCATCAAAATAAATAATATCCACATAAACACAGCTAATCACAGCCATGTATAATGTGTGCAAGCTTATATGCACTACCTATAGGCACGCATACACTAACTCAGGGGAGGGCGAACACTGATATCCCAGGCCTGTGTGCACATGTCACTCGTGTGTGTGCGTATTTTGATGACCAAGCAAGCAGCCATGGGCTAGGGAGAGGCGTCCTAGCTTGCTTCCTGCCTTTGCATAAAAGCAAGGCAGAGGTTTGCCCTGTGCAGTAGGAAACAGGGAATCCACACAGATTCCAAGTTGCATTCCAACTCCCAGCCTCCCTGCTGTATGCCTAAGCGGAGAACAACTTCCTTTGGGCTTCCCCTAAGTCTTCAGATAGACATAGGGACCCAGTCGATATTTTCTGGGGGTGAGGTGGGGTGGGGAGGGGAGAGCAAAGCTTCCGGCTTTAGCCCTCAGCCCCAATCTCCTTAGCTCTGGGCCCAAGCTCACAAGGTGCTGTGTTCTCTGGAGCAAGTTACTCTTGCAGCATCTGATGCCAGTTTGCTGTGTGACCCTGGGCAAGTTGCTAAGCCTTTCTGTGCTTTCCACATCTGTGCAATAGGAATCAAAGCTTTCCGTGGGCAGTCCTTTCAAGTCCGTCCAGAGAAGCCCACCAAATCCTGCACGGATGTGCTCTACTCAGGCACATACCTGGGAGCGTTAAGGTTTGCAAAGACGGTGAAACACCATAGTGGAGCTGCCACACCCAGTACTGGGCTCAACTCCTTGCTGAACAGAGGAAGTGCAGGCCCAGACAGAAAACAGGGAGCTTTGAGCTCTGCTTGGTCAGCAAAGAAGTCCGCACTTCTGCGCCTCCTGTGAGTGAGTGCAGCTCCCTAGGGTAGGGGCGGAGGTGGCTGCTTGCCTGAGTGGGAGAGCATGGACCCTCCTGTCACACAGGACTGCAATCCGACTGACTTCTCAGGATGTTCAGGCCCTTTGTGTCTTTAGGCTTCAGGAGCCTCCTCTGGTGCTTCCCCTACCCCCCGGCCTTAGGGGTGGGCAGAAATTGTTCTTGACCGCCCCCCCCCCATGATCTAGGTGGGAACTGGTTGCCAATCCCCCCCCCAGCAGAACTTCAGGAAATGGTGCCAGGTTGCCCGGGTGGAAAGGTGGCCAGGAGGGGGCAGTGAACAGCTGGCCCAGGCAGGCAGCCAGCACCGTGCCGCTGGAGGACTGACTGCTAGATGCGCAGCAGTTATGCCGGCTCCTGAGCTGGCTGGGTGCTGACTTGTGTCCTTGTTTTGCACAAGAGCAGAGCTCTGCACACAATGTGCATGGGTTCCTGGGTCTGGATTGTGGGCCACTCACGGAAAATGTGTGTAAATGAACACACACACGTGTGAACAGGGCAGGGTACGCCCACGTGGAGCCCATACCTGGGGAACCCGTGTTGTTCCTAAGTAGTCAAGGGCACAGGCTACTTCCCCTCCAAAGGTCGAAGACCGCTGGGCCCTCAGTCAAGCTTGCTTGACTTCAAAGAGCAAAAATAACCCTCACCTGTTATTATTGCACCTGTAAAACCGAGCATGGGAGGAGTGGGTGAGACAGATAAGAGATGAGACCTTAGACACGAGGCACTCCCCGGCCTGCTGCTGGTTGGCCATCGTTAAGCAGCGTAAATTGCATGGCAGGCAGGGTGTAGGCAACTCACTTCACCTCTCTCTTGTCAAACGGGTGACTCGTGCCTTTAAAGATCAAAACTAAGCACATGCCGCCGATAGCAGGTAGTGGGCGCCCAGTAAATGCCCATCTTCCCTAGGATGAACAGTCCAGGAGGTGAAACGATTCGCACAGGGTAAGGGCTTCCGAGTGGTAGCAGCAGATCCGGCATCCAGGCGGGGGCCTCCAGCTTCCCAGAACACTCCTTCCCTCCCCGTCCCTCCAAGGGCGGCTCCGACACCATTTTGTCTTCTGCCAGGGCGGGCGTCTGGCTGCCTGTCAGTCACCAGCTCTAGCAGCCAAGTGCTGACTAAACACAGGCCGCACGGGAGGGGAGCGAGGGGCTCCGCGCCCCCTCCCCGGCACCCCACCTCCAGCGATGAGCTCAGAGCGGCTGGCGCAGCACTTGCTGACAATTCAAAACTTCTGCCCCCTCTCCCGGGACGCCCGTGGGTGACTCTCTGCGAACAGCAGGCGTGGTGACCCACTGTGCCACCGACCCCTTCTCCCCCTCATCTCCCCGGGGCCACCCCGCTGTGTCTGCTGGGCCTGGAACCCAAGGGACAGTAACCCACAGCAGCTGTGCTCCAAACAACCCTTGCTTCCTGGGTAGGTCATTTTGGGGGGTCAGAATGCAAACTCAGCCCCCTCATTCTTCCTCAGGCAAGCAAGGAGGGGGGGCATGGAGCAGTCTAAACCTTTTTTTTTTTTTTTTTAATCGGATTCCATTGTATACCGTGCTATTTAAGGTAAGTTGCTCGGGTCTGTGAGGCAGACAAGATGCCCGCCAGATGTTGGCAGACAACATCAGCATTCAGTGTGTGCACCTCTCCTGCCTGGTGCACGGAGCTGTGGGCAGCCAGCTCTGAGGCTGTCCTCACAGAAGGGCCCTGTGTCCACAAACCAACTGGAAGCCTCCTGCCCGTGGAGCCCACCCATGCCAGAGCCTCACAGAGCTCCCTCACTCACCTGTGGCCCTCAGGGCTGCCTCTTCTGATCCCTCTTTCCCATGAAACACACACAAACAAATAGCAGAGGTGACTGAGTGGCTATGAAGAATTTATCAAATTATTGAAAATGCTGACATTTAAACTATTCATGTGCATACATGAAGTTACATAGAAACTTTCAGGTCACTGGAGCACAAACATGGCTCACACAATGAGCCCAACAGAAGCAAATGAAACCAGACTTGGAAAAAAACCTGGTTGTCCTGGCCAGGCATGACAGGCCTACAATTCATGCATGCCCGAGGTTGAGGCAAGAGGATCAGGAGTTCAAGGCCAGTTTCAGCTACTTAGCAAGCCCAGGGCCAGCCTGACCTGAAACATTGTCATACACATCCTCTTTTTTTTTTTTTTGTGGCTCTTCTTTTTGTTTGTTTAGAGAGACAGGGCTTCCCTGTGTAACAACAGTCCTGGCTGTCCTGGAACTCGCTCTGTAGACCACACTGGGCTTGAACTCACAGGCCTGCCTGCCTCTGCCTCCCAAGTGCTGGGATGAAAGGCGTGCACCAGCAGTGCACGGCTTGCGGAAGCTCTTGGGCCACTGTGACGGTGGCTTTATTCCACCTCTCAGATCCCCTTCCCTACCTTTAGGGGAAAGGGTCTATGTTTAGACAGATCCCCACTATGTATTAGCTCACAAAATCTTGATGTGGGAAACACACCCAAGAACCTATTGGAGTATGTCCTTATAAATATATTTATATCAGAGAAAACAAGGCACTTTGGGAGCATGACAGCTTTCTCTCCTATGTGTACATTGTTCTAGGCAGAAAGTAAGATTGGTTAGTTTCTCAAGTGAATTAACTGAGCAAAGTTCAGTAACAAAACCGTTCCAGGCCTTCGCTGAGGCCCTATTAAAGTGGACATGGCAGGAAGCACAGAAGGCACTTCCTGTGCGACACCTGGTCCCAGGTCGGATGGGCACTGGCCAAGCTCGAAGCTTGCTGTCCCGGCCACACTGCCTCCCTCCCCAGGCCCTGGGGTCAAGTAAGGGGCTGCAGCAGGAGGTAGTCCTAGCGCAGAGCAGGGACACGGTGGGAATGCTTAAGCAGGGTCACCAAAGCCACAGAGACCTCAATCTGTCCAAGCTGGCGCTGCACAGTCGGAGCACCGGCGCCACGGGAAGAGATTTCACATTAGCCCTGACAGCACTGCCCCAGCTCTGCGGTGACATTGGCCAGGGTCGTTTCTGAGGGCGCTCGAGCTTCCACTGGAGGCGAGCCGCCGGAGCTTGGGCCAGCTGCTCTGAGCCTCCCAGGGACCCCCTCCCCGCCGGAATGAAATCATCTCAGGACCAAGGCAAAGCCACAAGTCACTTCTGACACTACCGATTGCAAGCTGGGCCCCTGGGCCCCAGGAATGGGGGCAGGCCCCCTGGGCCAGGCAGACCAGGAAGGGAGGTGGTTCCCTGGCTTCAGCACTGAGAGTCCTTATGGGACACTGCTTTACATGCTTACCAGCCGCAGCCCAGCTTAAATAATCAGCAAATTGTATTCCACAATTGCAGGATTGCATGAACACACCTATCTGCAATGGGTCCTTTCTTATTTGAAAGGGCTCTGGGTTTAAAGAAGCATGTTTTAATTTTTCTGTAGACATACGCCTAAGTAGAGCCTAGAGGACTTCTCAGCTGACTGGGTCCCCAGCCCCCCAAGCCGAGGAGGCTCCGCAAGGCCGGCTGCTACAAAGCGCAGAGCTTGGCTGCATGGATTTTAATGAGAGCGTCAGGCAGAGCTGTGCTGTTGCTCTCCGGGACTTGCAGATCATTACCAAACCAGCTGTAGGATGAGAACACAGCACATCGAAACCCTAGGAGGTCACTGAGCTAATGATCTAATCCTACCTTCCGCAGACAGGGCCCCTCCCCATCTCCTCCCGCCCCCAGTCTTTCCTGGTGGACTCTGTCCATTCCAGAAGCCAGGCCAATACCGCCCCTTCAAGGTCGGAAAAGAACCATACTGAGTGGCTCTGGCTCCCCTTTCCCGGAGAGCAGGAGGAGGGAGTAATTTAGTCAAAACCATTAGGCACAAGCCCTGCTCTGGCCGGGCCCCAGGACTTCTATCTGGAAGGACCACTGCCTTCCCCTGCCTCTCGGGGCCCCTGCTGGGCTGCAGCAGGGTCAACAGCCATTTTAAGGTTCTGATGAAAGACACAGGATGGGAAACATGAGCAGCATGGAGTGCCAAGCCCTGTGCCACACTGGCTGGGGGAGGGGACAGGGACAGACAGGGCACCCTGGAGTAGCCACAGCATGGGGGCCTGCTGGCACCTGCACGCTCACCACCTCAGAGTTCAAGAAAGGAGGCAGAGGGGAGGTCCTCAGCAAGTGCAGCCGGCAATGCCCGTGATTGTACTCTCCTCAAGCCAGAGGGGTTTATGAGGGCTTTGGCAATTACTGCAACCATTTGCTGTGCTGGGTAGAGACAGATCCTGTTTCTCTTTGTTTCAGGTTCTGAAGCCAGAGAAGGCGATTTCAGCACAAGAGCCACACAATAGTTGGGGCAGAGAGAAGAAAGCTTGCTGTTGGCCAGAGCTGTCCAGCGTTTTCCTGAATAATAGCACCTGCATATTAGTTCTGGGAAGGGGGGTATACGGGGCGTCAACATCATCATGCAGTGAGGCGGGAGGCAGGAAGAAGACCCCTGTTCTCCTGCCTTTCAGCCTTCATGGCTGCCAGGCCCCCCCAGGCAGGTTACCTGCTGCGGCTGCCAGCCCGAGGGACTGAAGTTTCTACAGCTGGCAGAGCCTATGCTTAAACTGGGGAAACAAAAGGGGAAGGGAGCGGCAGCACCTGCTAAGGCTGGCGCCCCACTCCTCCTCTCTACTCTGGTTCCCCAGCACAGCTCCTATGCCACACGACTGGCTGGAGATAGAAGGGGGAAATAAACGGTTACAAGAGAGGCTGTAAGTGTCAAAGTTGTACTAGTGGGGCTGGCACAGACTGTGAGCCCTGCATTCGGGAGGTCTGGAGTAGAATGGAGCCAGGGCTGCATTGCCCACACTCCAGCAGGTGCTCATTATTTGGTCCCAGAAAACACAGGTGACTTGGAAACAGGAAGCCTGGGCTCTGCTCTATCACTATGTGTGTGACCTTGAGAGGGTAGGAGCCAAGGTATTCCATTCTCTTCCAGTCCTGCGGTGCTCCTGACAGTCAGCAGAGGCCCAGGTCCCTGTGTGTCAGGGCTAGTTTGGTCATGAATATCAGAGGTTAAAACTGGGCTGTGCAGTCTAAAGGCACATGGGGTGAGGAAAGGGCATGCAAAGGACACCTGAACACCACGCTCACTAAGGAACATGGGAGGAAGGCAGCAGCCCAGCCTCCAGGAAGGCATCACTTCTGGGCAAAGGAGCGAGACATTCTTTAGGGGCCTGATGCCTTCTGGAACAAAGGCATCCAGACAAGGCTGAACAGAAGGAGCCCCACCTGCTGCAGAGGGCTGAGTGTGGGGCGGGGGGAGGGGTGGCAGCCTAGTTGCCAGGGCAAGTGGCCTGCCCTATACTCTCAGGTATAGCAAAGGGACCAGGTGTGTCCACACAGGCTGTACCTATTGCTTTAAGACCAGGAGGCAGCATTATCTCAAGTAGCCAAATGGAAGGGTTCTGAGGAAGGCCATGGGTTAAAAGGGTTCTTAGGAGAAGGCACTATCTCCAGTTGAAACCCAACCAAAGGGAACTGTTGTAGGGCTTTCCTTCCTTTCAATAGTTAACAGTCACTTGAGGAGAAGAGGGGTCAGCTCAGCTATGGACCCTCAGGAGTCCATGGCCAAGCAAGAGGAAAAGGAGTACATAGGGACTTGGAGGAAGCACTTGGCTAGATCTTTGGTTGCTCCAGGGAAAGCTTTGGCCCTTGCAATTCTCTGTCCTCCTTTGCTCCCCCATGAGACTGTTATGACATCAAGAAGGCAGGTAGGAAGGACAGAAAAAGGAATGTGGGCAGCAGGAAGAAAGTTAATCCGACCAGTCGTCTTCATCAAATTCAGAGGAATCATCTTCAGAGTCGCTGTACTCAACAGCAATCCGACGTGACAGGATGGTGGCCACATCATTGCCCACCACATCACGCTTCTCTTGTTCCCGTTGCTCTTCAACCTTTCGAAGCTGAAAGCCTGGTGGGAGAGGGAGCAGAGTTAAAAATCACAGCCCTAGCCTAGAAAGCCTCATGAATGAGTCTGAGTAAGGCCCAACAATCAGGACAGGACTGTAAAGAACAAAAAGAAGGAAAGACAGGGTTCAGGAAATCCACACCCTGGCTGCAGACATGTTCCTTTTCTCACCAGGCTTCTGAAGGTGGACGACCACCCTACCCCATCAGGCAAATGCTCTGACTGCTCAAAGTCCCTAGCTACAGCAGGGCTCAGAGGGCCACCAACAGGACAAACCACACCAAACCCTTGGGACTAACTCCAGCCTCAAAGAGAAGGAGAAAGAGGGAAGAAGGACATAGACAGTGGGGCAGAGAAGATGGCTGCAGCTGAGTGGCTGAAAAGTCGCCCACAGGGACAGTGTTCATTTTCTTCTGGGGATCTTCCCCCAAGAAAAAGCATGTACGTAAACACACTCAACATGCTCATTTCAAGGAATCCCAGGGTCCCAGCTTAAAAATAATTCACGTTCAACAAATGTAGAAAGACCTCTCAATCTCACTATCTTAGGGAAGCCCCACCCTCACCTCCAAGGTCCCAATCGCTCAGCTGTTCAGGAAAGATCCTGTACCCCAACCAGCTTCAGAAAGGGTGTGCATCCTCAGACCCACCACCGGGATTTACCTTGGCGGATGGCGGAAAGCAGGTCACTACGCGCATCACTCACAGCAGGCAAAGAGGACTTGGGCTTGGTGGCATCGGAAAGAGGTGGTGGTGGTGCAGCAGGCTGGGCATCAGCACCACTAAAGGGGAGAGGTGGGGGCCCCGGAGGGGGAGGAGGAGGGGGAGGAGGAGGAGCACCTCCAGCTGGTTGGGACAAGGGAGGTGGTGGCATTGGGTAGTCAGTTGCTGGTGGTGGGGGAGGTGGCGGAGGGGCAGCGAAATCAGGGTGAGGTGGAAAAGATGGAGGTGATGGTGGCGGAGGGGTCCCAGGAGACCCAAATCCTATAGGTGGTAGTGGAGGGGGCACACCCATTGGAGGTGGAGGTGGAGGAGCAGGTGGTGGAGAAAAGCCAGGTTTGGGGCCTGGTGGAGAGCTCAGAGGAGGAGCTGGGGGTGGATGGCTTGGGCTGACCACGCTGGTTCTTTTGGGTCCAGCCAAGACAGATCCTCTTTGGTTGTCTGCAGGGTAGCTAAAAGGCCAAGGAGACAAGACTCACCATCATTCTCACAACGCCAACCTGCCCAGAGGCAGGCCTATCTATAAGCTCAGGCCCTCCTTAGCTGACTCTCTCATTTCACTGTGGCTCAAACAGAGGGAAAGGAACAGCACTGTGGGGAAATAACTTTCTAGAAACTGAAGCAGACTATCAGAGGGCTGCCCTGGCAGGTAGGACCAACGAACATCTCTTAGGTCCCTTTAGCCTTAGCCTTCCAGGAGATGGCTCAATTCTGAACCCTCTTAGAGAGAGGGGCCCATGGTGGTTGCCAGTTTACGCCTAGAGCTAGACCTAAATACATACAGGAAAGAGCTAGAACAAAAATTCAAAGCTGGGCGGTGGGAGTGCACATCTTTAATCCATGCACTTGGGGGGACAGAGAATCTGAATTCAAGGCCAGCCTGGACTGCAGAATGAGTTCCAGGACAGCCAGGACTACACAGCGAAACCTTGTCCAGAAAAACAAAACAAACAAAAACCAAACAAACAAAAAAATTCAAGCCCTATCCGTCTACTGGGTTCTGTTTCTTAGGCTCTGAATACTCACTGGATTTGGTGGGTGCAAAAATCTATTTGAAGCTGGCCAAATGGAGGTAGGATATTATGTAGTCCAGGCTGGCCTAGAACACACGACAATCTTCTGTCTTGGCCTTCCATGTGCTAAAATTATGGGTTTTGTTTATTTGGAACAGCGTCTCACTATATATGTTATCTCTGGCTGGCCTAAAACTTGCTATGTAGACCAGGTTGGCCTCAAATTGAAAGAGATCTCTGCCTCCTGAATGCTGGAATTAAAGCACATACCACCACACTACCAGGAATGCTGACTCAAGCCCTTAATCCTAGAGGCAGGTGAATCTCTGTCCTTTGAGTTTGAGGCCAGCCAAGTCTACAGAGCAGGTTCCAGGACAGCCAGAGCTGTTACCCAGAGAACCCCTGTCTCAGGGAAAAAAAAAAAAACACCAAAAACCCAGAAAGAAAATTATGCCTTTGGAGGGAGAAGACAGGTTTTAGCGATGTGAGGGCCCAGAATGGGGAAAGAGGAAGGAGCCAGCACTGTTTGAGGTCTCCATCTGATCCTTCACATATCCAGCCACAAATTAAGCAGAATCCAGGGAAGAAATAGCACCTGTGCAGACCTAGTTCTCAGGCATAGGGAAGAAAAAGAACTAAGAGAACTAAGAGCCTAAAGGACTCTCAGACCCGTCTAGCCACATGGGCAATCCTTTGTAAGACACCAGCAAACAAACAAGCGAAGGGACAGGCTGCAAGTCGCTTAGTCGTGTCTCCCTTCCCCTGCACTATGTAGTCCAGGCTAGCCCTGGATTCTGCTGGGCTGACAGAAGTGAGATAAAGGTCTACTAGGTCCCCCCCCTCCTGCTATTTCAGCAAAGTTGATGTGTGTGGGCGGTGGCACGCCTTTACTCCTAGCACTTGGGAGGCAGAAGCAGGAAGATCTCTGCGACTTTGAGGCCAGCCTGGTCTATAAAATGAGTTCCAGAACAACAGGGTTACACAGAGAAACCTTGTCTTGAAATAATAAAGAAAAAAAAAAAAAGAAAAAAGTCATCACTCCTGTCCGTGAGGTAACAACAACACTGCTAACAGTTGACAAATGATATTCCTATTATCTTACACACGCTTGCCTCAAGTCACCCTAGTGGTGACTCTGAACTCTTCACTTTGTTCTTGAGTGTTCTACTATCCAGGATGGATGCAGAGGTTCTGCCATTTACCTGAATTCTGCTGGTGGGGGAGGCAAGTTGTCTTCAGAGAAGGAAGGAGAAGGTGAGGAGGTGGAGTCTGATTGTGGTGGTGGTGGGTAGCTCCCTGTATCCACATTTTCAACAGAGCCAATGCTTCCATTCTGGTAGACCAAGGCGGATGAGTATCTGATAACATAACCAATGTCAGAGTGGTCGTTTAGAGTCTATTTCCATCCAAAGCATCAAACACTGAGCCTGAGTAACCCTCTTTTTTTTTTTTTTTTTTTTTTTTAAGATTTATTACGTATACAGGTTTTGTTTTGTTTTGTTTTTGCCTGCACACCAGAAGAGGGCACCAGATTTCATTATAGATGGTTGTGAGCTACCATGTGGTTGCTGGAAATTGAACTACTCATGACCTCTGGAAGAGCAGTCAGTCAGTGCTCTTAACCACTGAGCCATCTCTCCAGTCCCAGGCTCTCTCTTTTCTTACTAAAAGATACCACATAAATACATTTAACACAAAAGTTATTAAGGGAGGAGCCAGGCAGTGGTGGCGCATGCACATGCCTTTAATCGCCTGGTCTACAGAGCGAGTTCCAGGACAGAGAAACCCTGTCTCAAACAAACAAAAAAACCCAATAACACAACAACAACAAAAAGTTATTAGGGAGATTCTCCATGTATTTCCTGTTACACCAAAATTATACTTTAGGCTAGGTGTGGCAGCCTTTAGGTCCAGAACTGGGGAGGCAAAGACGGGTGATCTCTGTGATTATGAGGCCAGCGCGGTAGACACACCAAGTTCCACGCCAGCCAGGGTCACAAATGAGACTTTGTCTCTCTATTTAGCTATCTCTCTATATGTACATACATGTACATGCATACATACATATATATGTGTATATACGTACATAAATATATAATATATATAGATCAAACCCAGCAGTTCTTTTAAATGCTCTCCCATATATTAGGTACAGCTAAACCTGAATCCCAAAACCTTAAGGCAAAGAATGAAGCCAAGTTCTAGAGGTTAGCTGCAAACATGTGACTGGCATGCAGCCTGATTTTGAAGTAGGCAAGTCCATGGAGTGTTCAAAGGCTAAGGACGCATTTGATTGCAAAATCAAATCAAAGATGAATGCAGGTTGCCATGTGGTAGCACATGACGAGTGGCTGCTTACGCAGGGTGCTAGAGCTAGCTGCATGAAAATCCATTTCTCTGAGCGCTGGGCCCTGGGCGAGTAGGCTCTGGACAAACATCAAAACTTCATACAAGCATGAACACACCAATCAAGAAGCCTGCGTATTAGCATAAGTACACTGGGCACCAGCTAGCAAAGCTGGCCGCTCTGCCTTCTCTTCCTCTCCTTTCCAGCACTGTTGAGCTCAATAGAGCTTATCAACAGGTCCCAGGAAGAGTTGTAGGGCTGTAATTAAGGAGGACGACGCTCTACTGTGAAAACTGTGAAAACCCCCAAACCTGGACACATTTCTTTGACAACTTCACCCACAAGCATGTTCTTACAGAGCGACCAAACAGCCAATTCTAAACCTCTTGGATAATAGGAAAATGGGGGCGGGGAGAGCACTCCCAGTCCTTACTACCTAAGTCTCAAAAGGAAACATTTTTTTGTTTTGTTCTTTGAGACAGTTTCTTTGTCACAGCCCTGGCTGTCCTGGAACTAGCTCCGTACACCAGATTGGGAGACACACATTTTTGACAGTTGGCATTATGGCCTCAGAGTCAGTAATCCTATGCTGCGTGACTGTCAGAATGGGGTGGGACTGGGGAACAAAACAGCCTCTTACTGGGTGGTGAGATCAGTCAGGCACGTCAGTGCTGGTCTCTCTGGAGAAAGGTCATTTTCCCTCTCACTGTCTTCATCATGCTTAGAAAACAAATCTCCGAATCCAGGAGAATAAGTGTCACAAGTGTCAAGATTTTTAAAAGTCAAGATTTTCACGGTAGAGTTATTCCTAAAAGCAAGAACAACTCAACTCTTTCTTTTTATCACTCCTCAACACCCAGTATGGGCTGGCATGGTTCTTTGACAGTCAGAATGCAATGACTTTAGAGGAAAAGCCAGGGTGACACTCATGCCAAGCAGTCATGGTCACAGGGGTCAGACATCAGGATAAGCATCAAACCAAGCTTTAAATACATTCTCCCCTTTAAACCTCCAGTGTGATTTGGTATTGGGAAATGGGTCAGGACGACATCCCCCACTTCCCACAGAGATACATAGCCTCCACAGTAGCCCAGCAACTTTTCCCGCACTGACTCTGAGGTCTGCATTCAGTCCCTTTGGCTAGCCTCTCTCCCAAGACTGACAAAAACCAGCTGAAAATCTGTTTTGGTAACGAGCACAGCTTACCTACCCCCGCCCCTCCCGTACTCAACTCTTCAGCACAACCTTCTTGTGTGCTCTGGAAGCAAAGGACTCCCAAGACCATTTTTCCTGCTCTTTCAATCTTCCTCTGAGGCCTTAGGTATACTGGTTTCCGGCAGAATAACAGCACTAAAACATGGGCCTTCCCTGTCAGCCCACTTTAGTCACTTCATCTGAATCGCTGAGTCTCTTGCCTTACTTAGAAATTTCATCACCAGATGGACACTCTGAGTAGTCGGCTACGGCTGGTCTAAAGGCAGTGAGATACTGCCATCGACTGCTCACAGTCAGTTACAAACTGACTCCTGCTCCACAGGCCCCTCTCACTACCACACTTGACTAGTTAAAAAAAAAAAAAAAGTAGTTAACTTAAGAGTGGTATTGGCCTAAACCCAACAGCTGGATTTTAAAGGGTGTGGAAGGTATCATGGCAGGCTGTGGTGGAGTACGCCTTTAATCCCAGCATGCTGGAGGTAGAGGCAGGCAGATCTCTGTGAGTTCAAGGCCAGCCTGGCCTACGAGAGCTAGTTCCAGGACAGCCAAAGCTGTTACTCAGAGAAACTCTGTCTTGAAAAAACAAAAACAAAACGAAAACAAAACAGAAAACCCATCACCTACCCAGAAGGTCCCAGTTTTTCTTTGGATTCGACAAATTCTTGTCCCATCTTCATTTTCTCCCACTCTTCCTTACGTGTCTTGATTTTGCGTGGGTTTACATTCCCTCTATTTGGATTATCTTTCTTTTCTTTCTATAATAAAAAAGGACAGAAAGCCTTTGTAAAACACTTTCTAAAGGGCTTCATTAAAATTCTACCCATCTCCGTGGACACACTCACGAGATGATTTGCCTAGACAACACATGATAACAGCAGAATTTACAGAATTACCAGGTTTGCAGTGACCTGAGGCCGTCTAATTCAAACCACCTCCCAGGTAAAACATTTGCTCAGTTTCACACACAGGAACCCTGAGCAGAAAGGAGGGCTAGCCAGCCACCTCTCCGGTAGCTGCCACACCTCGTTAGGCACTCTTGTAAACACTTATTTGTTATTTGCTGTGCCACAAAGGTCAGTTAAGGGACGAGGATTGACCGCTCTAGAGATCTGGGGCAGAGAGAAGGAAACAGTTAAAAAACAAAACTAAACTAAAACCAATGAAGGATTTTCCAGCTCCCGCAGCTGCACTAGCCTCCAGTACTCTCTTGGGCCTGCTGACAGCCATGCTAATGGGATTGTGAGGTCAGTGCTGGCAGGTCACAAAGCACCAGGAGCCTAAAGAGAGAGAAGCATCTCTACAAACCAGGCAGCCCCTGGCTTCACCCACACAGTAGTGAAGGGGTTAATCTTCTGCTGTAAACCAAATATTGCAGAACATGGGGCTTGTCACTGAGAAATGAGCTGCAAAACCGGCAGGGATGGGACCAGGCTAGCAGAGTGTCCAGCAGAGTCAGGTGCAAATTGCAAGAAAAATAAATGATGAATAGAAAAGTCAATTTCTGAAACTCACTCAAATATACTCAATTGTTAATAGTACCCAGGGGAACAAGCACATTTTTGGTGTGATTTATACTTTCTCTTCCTGGTGGTGTTTGGTGTGGACACATTCCTTTTCTTTTTTAAGAGTTTTACCTGGCATCCAAGCAAGCAGCCACTTGGAATTACTTCACATAAGACTGGCTTCCTTTTCATCCCCCCTCCACAATCGTGCCTACTGATGTGTAGAACAGAGGCCCCTTTCCCCTCACCCTATGCTTTCTCTTCTCTTTCATGATATCCTTGGTGTCCTGCAGCATCTTCTCCTTCCAAAGATCAAAGAAGTAGGAAGGATTGGTGTAGAATTTGAGTGCCTCTTTCCCATCATCCCTGGATAGAAACGAAGACAAGTAGCTGTCAGTAGAGAGATGAGCTCCCACCCGAATCCAATATTCCAACACCAACCAGTTAGCAGTTTTTACGCTACAGAACCATGAAACCATTTATATTGATTGCGTATCTCCTCTCTCGCATGGATTCTCAATGGCCCCGAATGGTGTCCCTCAACTCCTCACAGACCTTTGCCGCACCTTCAATTCCCATACAGGAATGTGCATGGTCAGAGCGAGAACAGGCTAGAGCAGGAACTCTGATTATTTTGATCATCTGCAGGGTCACAGACAGCTCCCTAAAGATAGCTGGATACTGTGTACCTCTAAGGAGATTTCTATCACTGGTTCCCCTTTCCTATCCATTCCCCAGAACTCTGTAGGAAGCACTGAGGTCTTCCACCAACCTGAAACCCGTGCTCTCTACACACAGATAAGGAGCACACTGCTAGTTCTTGCTCCCTTCCAGAGCAGCTCAGTGCCCAATACCAATCCAAGGGGACCCACTGAACACAATCGCCAACTCTTTATTTTTTTTTAAAGATTTATTTATTTATTATGTATATAGTGTTCTGGCACCAAATCTCATTATAGATTGTGAGCCATCATGTGGTTGCTGAGAACTGAACTCAGGACCCCTGGAAGAGCAGCCAGTGCTCTTAACCTCTGAGCCATCTCTCCAGCCCTCGCCAACTCTTTAAAAACCACAAGGTCTACTCGGAGGCAGAGGCAGGTGGATCTCTTGAGTTCAAGGTTAGCCTGGTCTACGGAGTGAGTTCCAGGACAGCCAGGGCTACACAGAGAAACCTCATCTCAAAAAGTCCAAACCAAAACCAAACCAAACAAACAGACAAACAACAACAACAAAAACAAAGTTGGAACCCAGGACTGGTGGTACACATCTACAATCCTGGCCCTCAGGAGGCAGGGAGAGGTGCGTCAGGAGTTCAAGCCCAAACAAAAAACCCCACAAAAAGCTGATTCCGAGGCCAGCCTGGTGTATATAACAAGTTCCAAGACAGCCAGGACTACATAGGGAGATTCTGTCACAAAAATAAAATAAAATACAAACAAACAAAAACTCCTAAAGGCAATTCTACTTGTCTCTCAAAATACACAGAATGCAGTTCTAAATCAAACACTAATAATTCCTTTTAAAAAATGCTTGAGATTTATTTTCATTTAATTTATGTGTACACGTGTCTCTATGAATGTATATATACGTGTGTAGGTGCCCACAAAGGCCAGAATGAGATCCCCTGAAGCTATAGTTACAGGCATTTTGAGCTGCCTGATGCAGTGCTGGGAACTGAACTTGGTCTTCTGCAAGAACAGTAAATTGTTCCTTTTTAAAAAGATTTTATTTATTTATCATGTATACAGAGTTTTGCCTGCACATATACATGCAGGCCAGCAGAGGGCACCAGATCTCATTACAGATGGTTGTGAGCCACCATGTGGTTGCTGGGAATTGAACTCAGAACCTCTGGAAGAGCAGCCAGTGCTCTTAACTGCTAAGTCATCTCTCCAGCTCCGCAGCAAATGTCAAGCTATCTCTCCAGGCTCTGACACTAATAATTTCTTTATTAACCAAATCTTGTGAGTTAGACCATTGTTTGTTTCTGTTAGGCTAAATCTAAATAACTAAGACGAGATACTAATTCTGGTATTTTGTGTCTAAAAAAAGAAAATACTGTTTTCAGAAGGATGAAATATCTCAATATTATCCGTTTATTCTATCCCACCACACAAATGCTATATCATATCCCTTTCAGTATTATGAGGTATGTCAATCCTTTCTATCATACAACTCTATCCAAACTCAATCAGACTAAGACATGGCAGCCACAGGGACAAGCAAGACTTCATATAAGAGTAACAAAGGGCAGATACTCTGAGCCTCTTCTCTATCTGCATGAGAAGCTACCAAGTTCCTAGCTGATGCTCTCTGAACAGGCCAGTGTCCTTGACTCACAGAGCTCTCTCTCTCTCTCTCTCTCTCTCTCTCTCTCTCTCTCTCACACACACACACACACACACACACACACACACACACACACACACGCTGTTTTGCAGTGTGCCCATGTCTGACAGACAACGTCCACCTCCAGCTACTTGTAATTACTTTTACCTGTCCCAAAGTTATTTATGGATACAAGCAAAATAAATATTCACTTTCTACTGCTGTTTAGTTGGTCTGTGTATGATGACAATATTACCAAATCACCAGAGGGGAGGACTTAAAGTCATGTTTAAGGCTACCTTCCTTTTCCCCTGTCTATCTACAGCAAGGTAGGTCCTTGCAGAAATATCTAAAAGGTGTACAAAATGAAGGACTGACACTCACATGGAAGGACGCCACCTACTCCCCATGCTCAGGAAGGCCCTTTCCAGCCTAGAGCAGCCGATCTGAGGCTGCTTCCACCAACTTGCCCAAACATCTGGGAATCTAGAGTTTTCCCAGTAAGTAGAAGCCCTGCTAGAATGTAGCCCTTGGGAATCCATGCTGAAGAACTGCCTGCTAACAAGTCCTTTTGCTTCTGGAATAACTAACTTCCTTGGATGGAATCCAGATGGATTAGCTTTTACCAAATTAAAGTCTGCAGCCTGCACCGTGACGGCAAACTTTCAGTATACATAGATGCAGCATGACTTTCAGAGCGCAAGCGAGGGAACTGTCTCTGCTGCCGTAAGCACCACCGGGGCAGACCCCAAGCTCAGTAAGATTCTCTGATATAAACATTCTGATCAGATATGTTAGACAATGCAGTGTTTTTAATCACAGACACCCCCAACAAGGGAGAGCTCTTACCTGTAAGGACTTAGATTGTTGAGAGGCGGAGGAGCGTCACAGCTGTTATAGGTTTCTAGAACAGGCACTGGCAGAGAATTTCTGTCAAAAAGCTTCTGGTCTTGGGTGGTAGAGCTTCTGAAGGCCTTCCGAGTGTTGATTCCTTGTAGTGACACTAAGAGAAGATGGAAGGCATTAGAAAATGGACGACAGGCTGTTTGAGCAAACCCTGAGTCACACCAGTCGGAGAGGCCTCAGCTGCTGCGTTTCTTGGCTGCAGCCGTCTGCAGCCAGGTTTTTCCCTCCCCCTCTGGGGAAGCCCCACAGGCTGTCAGCAGCCCAGCCATTTCACGACTGAACAGAATGAAGCAACACAAAGGTTTACTATGTGGCCAGATCTCGCAGGCCTCGCTTTAGGTGAACGAATCCTCCACATACTTTTAAGGTAGCAAACAGTACTGAGGGAAAGGAGGTTAGAGAACAAGAGAACTCGGGAATGGGAGAAAGGGAGTGTGGCAGAGTTAAAAAGGTCTCTTTACACCATCTAGGCTGATGTCACCTCAAAGCAGAACTGTACCAGTCTCTCTGATTTCGCTCCTTGCGTTTTAACAAACCAGGGGCAGAATTCTCAGACACTGCTCAGCAGAGCCTGCAGCTCTGGCTCAGCCTTCTTACCTTCTTCTTCCTTGGGATCCAGCTGAGTGACTTTAACTTGTACTCGGTCAACTCGCTCAGCAAGGGAGTTTACCCGGGAGGCAAAGGCACTTGCCTGAGTACAAATCTCTCCGAAAATGTCCTCTGCATATTTACCTAGAAGAGCAAAGAGACCAAGTCACCTAGTGCATAGGAATGACAGAAACACAAACCAGTGACCAAAGAGTGTACCATCCACCAAACACACATGCGAGATATTCGCCATGGCCTTGGCAGTCTGCGTGTATATAGTCCATAACTAATAGAACCTTCTTGGCAAATTCTGAACAAACACAAATTCAAAGCAGGCTGAACAAAATCAAAAGGTATAATGTCAACAAATTAGTCCTGGAAGAGCAGACAGTATATGCAAACATTTGTCCCCAGCTCTTAGCCCCTCCTATTCTGCAAAGTACCTTGTGAAATGGCTCGAGAGCAGACTGAGAGTTAAGAGGAGCTACCAGGTGTCCGTGATTAATACACTAGATAGGAAATTACTTCCTCAGTAGGATTTCAAAAGTCCACTGCAAACCAGGATGAGGGTATCTCTAAGGAGCCTGAACTTATCTGCACCCCACACAAAAATGCAGAACTGTTTCTAAGGGTGCAAAGGTCACCTTCCGTCCTCTAACCCACAACTTTCAAAGTCTTTGCTCTAGGTTACAATCCTTCAAATCTACACCCCAGGGAACAAGTGAAAAGCTGAAATGTTCAAGTCCTCCCTAAAAAACAACATACACTGGTCTTTTTCCACAACGTATCGCTTTTTAAAACAAGAAAGAGTTCTGTACTTTCAACCCTGAATGCAAGGAGAATTTGCAGCCAAAGAAATAGCAATTTGGCACCACCATATCGTTATTCTGAGCCACGAGGTCCTTTCTCAGTAGGAATGGAAAGAGGTAGCAATGGACAAATTATCATCTCAGGTTTTTTTTTATTCACAAGGCAATGGCGGACATAAGTTTAGGTTAGGACTGCCCAACCTAAAGATATTCGGAGTCCTATTTAAAGTAAGACCTCACCTTTTTCTAAGCTTCTAAACTCAGTACATACTTGAGGGGGGAATTAGGCTAACTCAGTCTGAAAGGCCAAAACCACACCCTCAGGGTGAACTACAGCCAACCTTCCCAGTGGAGCCCAGAGAACAAGGCATGGGGAATTGGTGGTGAATCTGAGTTGACGAGGAGTTTCTAACCCAGTGTACTGCACGGTCCCATGCAGCAACAACAAAGGCAAATTCCTGCGCTCAAAGGACTCAGAATGGCCAACAAGCTGCATTTCTGCTCTGCGTGTAAAGGATCCTATTTGATCTCCATTATTGATATGGCAGTGTTCCTGATCGACCAAGTAATGAAAAGTGTATTTGGAAAAAACAAAGCAAAGACATATACAACATTATGCATAGAAAATAGATGAGCCTTAAAAATACCCAACGATGGTGGCTTACACCTGTAACCTGAGCACTTGAGAAGTCAAGGAAGACTGCTGTTAGTTCAAGGCCAGTCAGGGCTACATAGTGAAACCCTGTCTCAAAACAAAACAAAAATTCAACTGGTCTGGCAGAAAAGAAAAAACAAGTCAAATTGTCTTTCTGTCTCCAAGAGAGGACTCAGAATTTCTGTTCCTCAGTAGAGAGGGACATCAAGTAAAATCTCAAAAAGGACCTCAATATACAAAATTGGCATTCTTTTTTTCCTCTTTTTGAGATGGGGGGGGGGGTCTCACTGTGTAGCCCTGGCTAGCCCAGAACTTGCTGTGTAGAACAGAACTTTGAAAGCCTCAGTTAGAGATGAGAAAGTGGCCTTTTCACCACTAGAAGCAGCTCTGCATCTGTGTCAGAGGTGGGTAAGTTCAGGCCCCTGAGAGATGCCCTATCTTGGTTTGAAATTCTACTAAGCAATTTCTCATCTAGTGTATTAATCATGGACAACACAAGATAGTTCTTCTCCAGAGCCATCATACAAGGTCTTTTTGAACTCAAGAGATTTATCTACCTGTCTCTGCTTTCCAAGTGGGAAGATTGAAGGTACATGCCCAATTTTCCTCTTCTTCCTGTTCCCACTCATTCACCCGCAGACAGGGTTTCTCTATGTAGCCCTGGCTATCATAGAACTCACACTGTAGACCAGGCTGGCCTTGAACTCTGCCTGCCTCTGCTACCTGGGTGCTGAGATTAAAGGTGTGTGGTACCAACCCCAGTGCTCCTCTTCCCGTTTTTAAAGAGCAAGTAAGGCAGGTAAGGTGAAGTCTTTCCCACTGAAACATCGGGTCAGGCCCTGGGCAGACTCAGAATCACACTTTGAGAAATGGAAAGAGTAGTGGGTTTCAAACCAGAAGACCTGGAGTGTTATGTCTCAGAATTTTATTTTTAGACAGTGTCTCTCTGCATTCCCCTGTTTGGTTTCAAATTCACATAACAGACCAGGCTGGCCTCAAACTTGCCAAGAGCTCATCCTTTTCTTCCTCAGTGTCCGATCACTAGTGCACCCACTATACCTGGCCTATGCCAGTGTACTTCCTTTTAATATTTATTTTTATTCATGTGTATGTGTTTCTACATGTTAGTATGCACATGGGCATGTGGGTACCCACAGAGGCCAGATGAGGGTGCCAGCTCTCTTGGAACTGGAGCTAGAGGAGGTTGTAAGCCACCACATGGGTGCAGGGAAGCAACTCTGGTTTTCAGTAAGAACTGCAACTGCAGGCTAGGTGGTGATGGCACACACCTGTAGTTCCTGCAGAGGCAGGTGGATCTCTGTGAGCTCAAGGCCAACACGGTTTACAGAATGAGTTCCAGGAAAGCTACTCAGAGAAATTCTGTCTTAAAAAACAAAAACAGAACCAGAAGTGTTGTATTTTGTTCGTTCTGTAGCTTTGTTGTGTAGCTTTGGTTGGCCTCAAATTCACAAAGACTCACTTGCCTTTGCTTTGAGGGTGCTGGGATTAAAGGGGTGCACCACCAAATTTGGGTGCAACAAATACTCCTAAGAGCCAAGCCATCTCTCCAGCCCCTGTGTACTTTGTAGGAAGTCACAATCTCTCAAATTTGGTCTCACCTGTGTACTAGGGACTGTGAAGTTACTAGAAAGATTAAATAAGCTGTTACAACGAACTTCTTTCTTATGTCATTCAGCCACGGAGACAATTTTTAGGAGTTCAACTATTTAAGCCAGCATGAATCCCTGAGTCTGACCTGGTCTGTGGGATATATTGGGAGTTACTGGGGCATGTGGGAGGGGGAATCTGGGGTGTAGTCGATGTGATCAAGATACACTGTTTACATACATGAAATTGTAAAAGAAAATTAAGACTTTTTGTTGCTTTTTCCTTTTTTTATTTATTTTATTGATATTTATTGAGTTCTACATTTTTATCTGCTCCCCTCCCTGCCTCTCCCCTACTCCCTTCAATCCTCCCCCAAGGTCCCCATGCTCCCAATTTATTCAGGAGATCTTGTATTTTTCTACTTTCTACTCCCCATGTAGATTAGATCTATGAAGTCTCTCTTAGTGTCTGCATTGTTGTCTAAGTTCTCTGGGATTGTGGTTTTTAGGCTGGCTTTCTTTGCTTTATGTTTAAAAACCACCTATGAGTGAGTATATGTGATAATTGTCTTTCTGTGTCTGGGTTACCTCACTCAAAATAATGTTTCCTAGCTCCATCCATTTGTCTGCAAAATTCAAGCTGTCACTATTTTTTTCTGCTGTGTAGTTTTCCACTGTGTAAATGTACCACATTTTTCTTATCTATTCTTTGGTTGAGGGACATTTAGGTTGCTTCCAGGTTCTAGCTATGACAAATAAAGCTGCTATGAACATAGTTGAGCACATGTCCTTGTGGCACAATTGAGCATCCTTTGGATATATACCCATAAGTGGTATTATTGGGTCTTGAGGAAGGTTGTTTCCTAATTTTCTGAGAAATCACCACACGGACATTCAAAGGGGTTGTAGCAGCCTGAACTCCCACCAGCAATGCAGGAGTGTTCCCTTTTCCCCACAACCTCTCCAGCATAAGTTGTCATCAGTGTTTTTGATCTTGGCCAGGTGTAAGATGGAATCTCAGAGTTGTTTTGATTTACATTTCTCTGATGACTAAGGACATTGAAGTTGTTGTTTTTTCAAGACAGGGTTTCTCTGTGTAGCTTTGGGACCTGTTCTGGAACCCACTCTGTAGACCAGGCTGACCTCAAATTCAGAGATCCGCCTGCCTCTGCCTCTGAAGTGTTGACATTAAAGACATGTGCCACCACTACCCAGTCAATTAAAAGACATTCTAGTAAAAAAACTATAATTTAGTAAAAGAAACACAAATAATTTGTATTATGGGGAGTGTAATGCTATTATTTGTAAGAGCAAGAGCATCTAGTACTCAGACAGGGACCAATACCACACCGATGACAACGGGGTGGAAGTATCAAAGGATGTGGTCTAGAAGCCAGGCATGGTGGCACAGCTTTTAATCCCAGCACTAGGAGGCGAAGGCAGAGAATTCTTGCCTGTGGAGGTCACAGGAAAACCTTTGAGCCGGGCGGGGGTGGCGCACGCCTTTAATCCCAGCACTTGGGAGGCAGAGACAGGTGGATCTCTGTGAGTTCGAGACCAGCCTGGTCTACAGAGCTAGTTCCAGGACAGGCTCCAAAACCACAGAGAAACCCTGTCTCGAAAAACAAAAAACAAACAAACAAAAAAAACAAAAACAAAAAAGAAAACCTTTGAGCTGGTTCTCTCCTATTATGAGGGTTCCAGGAACTAGACTCAGGCTGCTGGTCTTGGCAGCAACCACCTTTACCCATAGAGTCATCTCATTGGTCCTCCCTTCTCTACTTTAAAAAGAATTTTATTTGAATATTGTAAAACGGGAGATGGCTACAGAAGAATGGAAAGGAAGCCAGAACTTGAAGAAGCCTTTACACAAGGCCAAAGAATTTATATACTATCGTATTTGGGAGATGAAGGCCAAGGTAAACCTGGACAACTTAACAAGACCCCGTCTCAAAATCAAAAAGGTAAAAATAAAAGAGCTATGTATGGATACAGCTCATGTATGTATGTATGTATGTATGTATGTATGTATGTATGTATACAGCTCAGTGGTAGTAGGAGAGCAAGAGGAGG